GCCCATAAGGAATACACAGGGGTTTAGGGTTTAGGGAGCATAGGGAATGATCCTAGCACTTCATTAATGTGGGGGGGACTCCGCCAGAATAAGAAACGGCGGCGCCAGATTAAAAGAATGATTGGGACTCTTGGAGCTGTAGTACAAACTGAATAGGAATGTATTGAATCTCTATTAAAGATCCTTGGGGCTCTTGGAGCTCTAGTACAAACTGAATAGGAATGTAAACCCCAAACCCTAAACCCCCAACCCCAAACCCTAAACCCCAAACCCTAAACCCTAAACCCCAAACCCCAAACCCTAAACCCCAAACCCCTAAACCCTAAACACAGCTCAGATCCTTGGGGCTCTTGGAGCTTTCCCTAAACCGCCCCTGAGCCCCTGCAGTAGAGTGCCCAAGACCCAAGGAGGAGTGTATGAGGGCTTCCAAAAATCAGGGCCCCTTTAACGGGGTCATAGGGCACATAGTGGGTTATAAAGTGATGTAGGGTCTAAGGTTTCTCCAAATTCTGGGTTTCCCTCTTTGGGGATACCAAAAGTAAGGATCACAGCATCTTCGGCTCTATAGTGCAGCCCTATGACACACCCCTTAAATACATCCCGAATTCCATCTTTAGGTCAACAGTGGTACGCGTTCTCTGAGTGCAGTATTTAGGGCATTTGTGCAAGCATTGGTGCACTATGAACTTGACGTTGTGTACTGAGCTGGGCATACCTCTTCTTCCCTTTTCTGGGCTTATGGTTTAGAGTTTAGGGTTTAGGCTTGAAGGTTCAAGCTTGCTGCTACATCATCCACACCTTAAAAAAGCGAGTCCTTTGCGAATTGCATATGGCACGCACAAACCTCATGAAGACTCCCAAAAATGGACCCTCCCAATGATCCCCCTACTTTCCACAATGTAGTACTGTTACCGCATGTATTCTTGGGTTCCATGTTTTGAATCCTTGAGGGGTTCTGGGTGCTCTAACTCCTAAACCCTAGGTGCACAAGATGTGTTTAAAAAGAAATCGTAAGTGGTTTAAAGTTTAGGTTTAAACCCTAGACCCTATTCGGTAGTTTCCCAAAATAGAGGTACCCCAATATAGAGCCCAGAATACAATAATTAGTCCCTATTAAGGGGACCCCCAAAAAATTACCCCTAATTTTGGGAAACCCCCTAAACCCTAAACCCTAAACCCTAAACCCTATTCTGCAGGACCAGAATGTACAACGTCAGTACTTGGCTTGCAGCTCGGTCTCACCTTAGCCACAAGGTCTGCGGTGAAGGGTTTAGGGTTTAGGGTTTAGGGTCTAGGGTCTAGGGTGAAGGGTTTAGGGTTTAGGGTTGAAGGGTTTAGGGTTTAGGGTTCTCACAGTCCCACCTCAAAGGGTTTATAGGGACATATAGCCTCCAGGATTTGAGAGAAAACTAGACTGAAGAAATAATGGAGAAGTTTTCAAAGCCTCTAAAGCCTCTAAAGCTTGAGTTTAAAAGAAGGCGGTGATGATTGTATTCGTTCTCGTTATGATGACTATTGCTATTATTAGTATTATCTCGCTTTGGTTGTTCTTTCTAGTATGGCTATTACATGCGCAAGGCATTCGAACAATTGCTTGGAGGATCGGAGGGTTTAGCAAGTAGACTTCTAACCACTTTTGGCCAAAATTAGCAATATTCCGTAGCAACTAGCAACCCTCTAAACCCTGGACCCAATAGTTCACCCACCTACTATGCCACCCTTGCTCCTGCTGATTCTTCATCTATTCCTTCAGCCTCTCCTAACTCCGAACCCTACACCCTAGATGTATATCTCTCTCTATATATATATTTATATGTATGTACATGTAGATGTCTCTATGTATCTATCTATCTATATATATATATACACGTGCATCTATCCATATCCGTTTCCTATAGCTGCTTTCACAGGGGTAGCTTTGAACTTGGTGTTTTTTTTGTTACCCTTGATCCCTATACAGCTCCTGTAAAGCCCTAAACCCCAAACCCCCAAACCCAAATTCTATAAACTTCCAGGGGAGCTACTCAGGCATCCTATGGTAATTCCTACATCATGCCTTTAGGCTTTATATGTAACTCCGATATACTTCCTGTATGAGCTAGTGTCTAAACTCCTTAGAGGGGGTTATATAGGGGGCTTATCTAGGCAGTACATAGGGTTTAGGGTTTGGGGTCTAAACTCCTTAAATTAAAGGGGTTATGTAGGGGGTTATATAGGGGAGCATCATAAGGGTTATAGGGGGATATTAGGAGTTTAGACTACAGCTCATATAATCCCTATAGCCCCTTTATAACTCAGGTATCCTTTGGTCTTTCTGCCAGCTGGGCGTGGGTGAGAGCCCGCTTCAGCCCACGAACGAGATCGAGATGCTTTTGAACGTCTTCATCACTTTCAGGCTCCCATTCGTTTCGGGTTTAGGGTTTGGGGACCCTAAACCCTAAACCCTAAACTCTAAACCTTCAACCCTAAACCTTAAACCCGAAACCCTAAACCCTAAACCGCTTAGGATTTGGGGTTTAGGGGGTCATTCCGCCTCACAGTAACTGTCCCTAAAGGCGTCTCCTGACCGGGCTGTTAGAACTCCTCTTACCAGTTGTGGTAAATGTTACTGTAAGATGGTAAATTTCCCAAAATAGGGGGGACCCAATATAGACCCCAATATACTATAGTCCGTATTATGAGAACCCGCAATGAGGTACCCCCTAATTTTGGGAAACCTCCAGAAAAGAGGCCATAAAGCCTAAACCCTAAACCCTAAACCCTAAGCCCTAAACCCTAAACCCTAAACCCTACTTTGGAGGCCTCCGGGGGAGCTTTGGGTTGTAGGGTTGAGGTGATTCAGGGTTTTGGGGTTGAGGATTTTGGGTTTGGGGGGTTTAGGGTTTAGGGTTTGGGATGAGAGGGTTTCAGGTGCAGGGTTCATGGTCGTGGATTCCAGAGGGTTTCTATGTAGGTTTAGGGTTTAGGGTTCTGAAGATATCAGGGAGGAGGAGATGTCAAGCCTCTTTTCCGGCAAAGGGTTGTTTCCACAAACACCCAAATGGGTAGGGCTCTCGCTGGGGTGTGGTCCAGGAACCTCAACCTTGGCAAGCACATGTTCTCTGACTAGGATTGCTGGGCATATCAGTTCAAGTCAGGAAGCCTTTTAGGGTTTAGGGCTTGGGATTTAGGGTTCAGGGAGCCTTTTAAACCCTAAAACCTCCACCTAAAACCTCCACCAACAAATTCTGCAGCACCATCGCCAATATCATATTCAGGCAAATGCTTCAATCGATGAGTTGGGTTGTGAGTTCTCTAGGGTTGGCTATGTGAAAGGGTGATGTGGCGTACTTTATCCCGAAACAGCGGGTAGGTTTGCAAACCAGGTTCCTCTTACACACTTAATGCGCATATCACAACCTGAATTTTCAAGGGCCCCGGAACCCTAAACCCAGCTTTCCAGTGGACTCGAGACTGCTGCCATAATTTGCCATATGTTTACAGAAAGTGCTGTAAGGAACACAATGATACTAGTGATCTTCATGCTCATCATGAAAGCAACCGTTCACCTTTAACAATAATGATGAGCAAAACCCTATGTCCCAAACCCCAAACCC